ACTCTAATTAGAAGTCTTAGTCTCAGCAGTTAAACAATGTACGAACCAGTCCCAACACAGCCTACAATTCAAGTGGCTTTGAGAACAAAGACAATCATAGCTGTAGCAATTTTTCCCCTAATTTATAGAATGTGAAGACTTTCTCTCTCTGAACGTTGTACTTAAAAAAAAAAAAAAAAGTTTAACCTCTGGTATACATGCCCTTTCACAAAGATATCAGCATTTCTGTGGAAAAACACCAGCACATACCAGCTACATGTAACAAAAGAAAAAGAAACAAATGAATATTAAACTTGTAAGTTTGATCCCTCCTGCAGAACCAACGTTCTTGGATCACTTGGAAATATGTAAGATGTACAGAGACGTGGAAGGACTGTTTTTCTAACAGTTTATAGATTATATGAATGAAAGGGAAACAAACTACCCGGGGCATCTTTCTAGCAAGCAATCTGCACAATTCTTTACTAGTACCGGTGAAGGTTGCTAACTGTTCATGCTAATATCAGCAGAGTGGCTACCTTCCTATCCAAGGGAGGCAAACACCACAGGATTGTTTCCTGGGTGCAAGAGCAACAAGCTTTAACGCCTAATGACTAGCATGTTCGCCAGAAACAACCAGAATATTTCAACAGCACACAAGAGGCCAGTCTTGTTTCCAATCTTATAGCAATCCCAGTAGATAAAGGTCACCAGAACAGATTCCAACAACAAAATCAAACACTGCAACTACCATCAACTACAGTAACTATTTCAAAGATTGGGAGAAATGTATTTATCAGGAATAAGGCATTTCTCAAAGAGAGATATACTTCACAATAAAGTCAAAAAGATAACATGGCCCCAAACCCAAGGAACTCTCAGGAAGGGATGCGATCAGGCCTGTTTTCCCTAGAAAATTATAATAGCCCATTCACAGCTCTTCTGGGTATTAAACTCTTTGTGCTAGCTTAAATGTACACTGGAATTTTCAGGACGAGTAAAATTATAACCGTAAAGTATGTGTTAGAAAGACTTTAAAAAACACCCAAAACAAAAAAGCCTTTCTTACTTTACTTTCCAGTACTAATTTGATCTTTAAAGCAATGTGCATCCATTTTAGAAGAATTACTCAACAACGTAGAAGTTTACGTGAATGATTAAAAAAAAAAACGCAATGAACTATTGGAGGAATAAAAGCAACCACTACAAAAATGTTGCACAAAATAGGGTATATGTCTCAAGTCTTTCCCTTTCATTACATTTTTCCCCCAGATTTTAAGTTTTTCAAAGTTTCAGGCATAAGTACAAATTTCAGTTCCACTCCATGCATTTACCAGGATATACCTGAAAGTTTCTCCACTTTTAAATGAAGGAAATCTTAACTGTTCACATTATGAAACACTAATTTAGTGCCTTACTTTGTTACAAAATGTGATTTTTGTTTAGCAGCTGTTTGCCTCTCTAAATGTTAATTAAGACAAATACCTGAACACAACTTAGTTTCATTGCAGTAATCATTTAAAAAGTTAATCTCTTTTAACAAGGAAAACAACTAATTCCAAGTTAAAACAAAGAAACAACTAAAACCAAATGGAAACACTTTCAAATGCTAATGTGCCTACCCCGTTTAAAAGGATAAAGCCCTGAATATAAGATAATATTCTTAATTAAACACTTAAAGTAGATCAGGTGCTTGCGAAATACATAGAAAAGACTTCCCAACACTTGTTCTGCAGATGAAATAAACATAGTGGGCAACTGAGAACCAACACAGGGAGAAACCTCTTTCAGAAAAAAAAATATTTCCCCCAAAACTTATCCTTCCAAAATTCCCCACTAAGCCAACATCTAAATATTTAAATGGCTTTAAAGTCTTCCTTAGCTAAGCCAATCTCTTTGCGTACAAGACAGGACAGCCTCCTTTAAATTAGTAAAGAACATTAATCTGCTTTTCAAAAGTGTAAGAACGTAAAAATCATTCAATATAACACTTTTTTAAAAGTTTGTTTGAAAAATCCATGTTATCTTCCTTCAAATAATAAACATAAATATTCCGCAATAAGACGGAAAAGAATAAAGAATTTTTACAAAATATACCAAAATGACTCATAAAAGCAAACCCCTAACAGCCAAGTACCCATGCTATCAGCCTCATCACTGACACAAACTTATTTTAACATTTACTTTTAAAAGCAAAAAGCTACTGTCGATTAAGCTATTGGTCAAAGCTGCAATTTTGCTTTATATTACATTGCAAGGTAAAGAGCAAGAGTTAAAATAAAATACCACATACCGTCCTGAAAGTATCTCCACTTAAGGCAGAGTTCTCAACATCAGAGATTTCATTTCTCGTTGATTCCAAAACTATTTGCTCAAGCTATTATTATAATTACCATTTCCCCCTTTGGTAGCCAAATCAATAGCCCTACTCCATGAAATTGTTATTTATTTGGGGGGGGGAAGCAGTATTTAGGAAACGTTTGCCCCCCCCCTCCTAAGCAGAGCGCTGTCCTCTGAGGGCCAACACTGGGAAACCACCTGCGCAGCACCCTGCGCTCCCACCTCTCTTCAAAGCGGGGTGGGGTGGGAGTGGGGGTGACACCTCTCCTAGGCTTTTCAAAAGCAAGTCCCCAAACGCCAGTATCAATTCCACAGGTCCCGCTGGACGATGCTACCCGAATTCTACACGTCTCGCTCCACGCTGTCAACCAACTCCACCTAAGTTTAAAACGAGGTAGGACTACACTGACATCTGTCCCCGAGCACATTTGTCTCTGAAGCAAAGAATGACCTAAGTTAGAAAGCAGGGGACAACAAATTATGAAGGGTGGAGGGGGGCACAAAATTAAAGTACCAGCTCCTAGGAGCCTACGGCTGTTGCGTAGAATCAATGCGCGAATAACGCTCTCCGGTTACGAAGCCGAGACCCTGGGTGAGCACGCCGGGTGCCTCCACGATACGCACAGAAGCCTTTTCGCCAGGAGAACGGAGCACCCAGCGTCCACCAGGAAGGCGCAGTCGGTCCCCGCAGGGAAGAAGAACAAAAGGGATTTAGGGAATCTCTGGGGTGCCCAAATGCCTGGATCCGAAGCCGGGAGCACCCCTAATACAAGAAGGTTTCAACCAAAGCAAGTCGTGTTGGCTCTGGGGCCCCACCGGCCGCGGTTCGTCTTCCCCGACCCGGACCCTCACGCGACACGAATCGCCAAACCCAGATAAAGTCCGCTCCCGCGCCAGTGTCGGGGCGGCCTCGCAGCCCGAGAGTGGGCCCATGCGCCGCAGGGGTCAACCTACCGAGGGAGCGGGTGGTGGGCGGGCTGCCGGGGCTCTCACGGAGGGGGCGGTGTCCTGGTTCCGCTCCGGCCCCGCCCAGCCTCCCCCCAGGCCTGCAGGTGTCTACCCGGCCGCGGCACCCTCCCGCACCTAGCTGCACCGGGCGGGACGGGGGGGGGCGGCTCTCGCCTGGCGCAGGCGGTAAGACTGCCTTGCCTCTCTTTAAACACGAGCGTCCTTTTCCTCCGAACACAAACAGCAGGCAGTAGGGGCGCCTTCAGCGGGCGAGTCAGAACCCGGGTCTACTTGCCTAATGACCTTGGGCGCAAACTGCGAGTTCCATTCTCGCATCCCCCAAAACTCTACCCAACTCTTAAGGGTGTCAGAAATACTGGCCAGCGTACTTCTGGGCTCGTGACCCACTTTGGTCCTTGGCGTGAATTTACAACGGCCCACCCTCCTCCCTCATGCTTCCCAAGAACCAACTGTGCCCACAAGGAGACAAGGAGCGTAGAGCACGGAGTGAAACCGGTGACTCTACCAAAGTTAACCACCAAACGTAAACCAAAGCAGCTCTTCATTCTCCCTCCCTCCGTGGTTTGTAGCGCCTCCCGTTGTGCGGGCCCCAGGGCCTCGTCAGGCCTGCGTGACGGCATGGATCTGGATTATAAACCCATGTTGCCCAACCCCACCGGGCAGGTGAGTGTCGCTTACGCACAACTCTGATTCTGGCCGCCTCTTCTCTCTGTTCTCTGACACAGTGACCTGTATGCCCCAATGTGTGTCATTCAATACGTTCATTTCCAGTTCCAATCCTCTCAGCCGGTCAAGCTTTTTTTGCAAACTGATATGAATTGCTAATAACCAGTCCCTCTGCCTGGAATGCCCTCAGATCCCCCTAATCACTTTTCAGGGGCTACCTTTTTCAAGAACCCTTCCAGAAACAGTTTGTGCTTCCTGGGTTCTATTCTCTCCCCTATTCCCACGTGAGCAGTCCCGCTCTGACGTATAACACAACTGTCAGTGCTGCTGTGCACACACGGAGCTTCTGAGCTCCTGGAAGGGCCCCCAGAGGTCTTTTCTTTTAGTCGCCCCACCCTCAGCACCCAGCACAGCCAATTTGCATGATTCGGAATTAATGTAACCTGTCTTGCAGCAAGATCAAAGTTTCAATCTTGTGCCCATTAGCACTGATTTTAGCAACTAAAATGACGAACATTTGTTAAAACAGGATCAACTTTAAAACAGAAATTCAAAGATAATTTTTTTTTCTTTTTTTAAGCTTTACACCATTAATTTCACAGGCAAAGAAAGCCATTACAGGTAAATGTCATATCTACTTCAGGGACATTTTCTACTCGGAAGCTGTTGACAGCTTAACCACTGCAGCTCTGCTTTATGCAAATACAGATGGTGCTTTTCTCCCAGAGAACTTCACACATCTGCTATCTCAGTTGATTTTGCCATGGCCTTGCAGACATGGGCTCACACCACCCAGGGCCTTCAAAAGAGATGACTGGGGCAAGGGCCCACAGAAAAGTCAAGCCACTTACACACAAGAAATGCACACAGTGCTTAAAACTATGTAAAACTTTTACAGATGTGAGCACCAAAAAGGATCTTTATAGTGCTAAAAACAGAGTATCTTTGTTTTTTAAATAGAGTATCATTTTTATTGGACATTCTCCTATGAAGTGGGGTGTTAATGACAAATTATAACACAAAAAATTCACAAGACAAAACATTAATTCAATTATTCTCAAGTCAATGAAACTATAATTGGATCATTCTTTTGAATAGAGAAATGCCATTTCCCCCCAAGCTAAAATTATACATATGTGTATGTCACACTTAAAGTGTCTTAAAAAAAATTTTTTTTTAACGTTTTTATTTATTTTTGAGACAGAGAGAGACAGAGCATGAATAGGGGAGGGGCAGAGAGAGCGGGAGACACAGAATCGGAAGCAGGCTCCAGGCTCTGAGCCATCAGCCCAGAGCCCGACGCGGGGCTCGAACTCACGGACCGCGAAATCGTGACCTGGCTGAAGTCGGACGCTTAACCGACTGCGCCACCCAGGCGCCCCTTAAAGTGTCTTTATATTTACTAGTTGACATTAGATATTACAGTAAAATAGAAACCCACTCAAGCTAAAAATAAAGATCTTTTTATTTATTGGTGTTACATACCATGTGTGTTCGTGTACATATATAATTTTTCCAGATAGTAGTTATAAGAAACCTTAGTAAGAAGCTATGAAAACCCACTTCTAATACCACACAGCCTGTATCTACTATCCAACTCTATGAACTCCTAATTCACTAATCTCTTACATTATCAATACTCTCTAGTGTGGTAAACAAGATAATGGCCACACCCTGATCCCTGGAACCAGTGAGTACTTTAGGTTGCCCGGCAAGGGAGAGTTAAGGTTGCTAATCAGCCGATTTAGAGATGGGATGATCCTGGATTACCGAGTGAACCTGATGTAATCACAAGGTCCTTAGAAGTGAAGAAGACAGGCAAGGAAGAGAGAACCAGAGAGACAGTAGCGTGAGAAAGACTGGCCGGGCCTTGCTGGTTTTGAAGATGGAGGAAGAGACCATGAACCAAGGACTGCAGGGACCTCTAGAAACTGGAAAAGGAAAAGAAGTGGATTCTCCCAGAGCCTCCAGAAAGGCCTACTGACACCCTGAACTTCGCCCAATGAGAATGATTTTGGACATCTTACCTCCAGATACTGTAGGTAATAAATCTGTGTTGTTATAAGTCACAGAATTTGTGGTAATCTGTTACAACGGCAACAGGAAACTGATACATGTGGGTTCTAAGTTCCTCTTAGAATCAACCTCACTGCTGGTTTGTGTTTGGCTCAGTATGTGAGGAAGATAAAAACATTCTTTAAAGGCTCTCAGCTACACCTGCACTCTGACCAGTTTCCTCCTAAGAGGGGAGGATTCCTTCCTGGGCCCTCCCCTCATCCCCAAGGACACAGCTTCATAGGGAATTTCAGGCTTGACTCTAGTGGCTGAGAAGTTTGCTGGAGTCGGTGGGCTGAGATGAGAAGAAAGCTGGATAGGGGGTCTAAAAGCCCTTTAGAGTCTGGTTCCTAACTGCTTCACTGCTTTTCTAGTGCCATGGAGGCCAGGGCAGAGCATGTCAATGAAACAAAGGACAAACATGAAACAAAACGCCATGGGCAACCACGTCTTGATCAAATCTAAGAGTGATTCAAGTTAATAAGTAACATAACCCCACCACCTTTTTCATGGCTTTAATTATTACAGCCAGTAAAAAATATTCAGGCCATCCCTGTTTAGTGATGTTTTATTTACCCCTAAAGGCTAAAGTCTTCATTAAAAGCAGAAGAGTTGTGTTCAATTCAACACATATGGTGAGATCACAGCCCAGTTTATTATAGTTTTTTGAAATGTTCACTCGCCCTCCCCCCAAAATACACACAATCGAGGAATCTGAATACACAGCACTGCAATTACAATTGGCCCGTATCAGATTTTTAGTACATAATTGATTTAAAACACAAACTTATTTTTGAATAGATCCCCATGGTTTCTATTTTTCTAGCACAAATCAATCTTTTCCTAAGGCCATTTCTTCCACTGTTCAAAGGGAACAAAGCTGCTGTTGAAGGGGTTTTCCTTTGCCCCAGATGTTTCACTCAGGTGTGCTAAACCTGGCCAAGTTCCTGAATAGCCTGACACCATGTGGTTGCAGAAGCCAGACAAAATGCCTGAGCTATAAAGGAACAGGTTAAGAGGACAGAGCAATCCACATGTCCACAAGATCAGTGCCATTAATTTCTTTTTTTTTTATGGTATACAGACTTTATCACGGAACTGCCCAATTATGTTTTCCAAATTTCACACTTTATGTTTTCCAAAGAGAATTAATGAGCCGTATCTTTCCAGGTAAACTCTTCACTGAGGGAAGAAGTGTAATTCTTTGTCATGTCCTATATTAGAAAAGCAATTGTTTCCAATCATACCTCACTTGGATCAGTGTTTTTTTTTAAATACCTTTGGCTCTCTTTTGGCATTACTTGGTCTGTGAAGCTAACCCAGCAGGAGAGGAGCTGGAATCATTCCAAATTAAGACCCTCCCTCCTGCAAGAGAGGAAGGCTGAGCGGGGAGGGGTAGTTCTGTCACGAATGGCCTCACCTCCATGAACACTCAACCGGAGGGAGGGGGAAAGCATCCTTACCAGTAAGTGTCTCTTGGAGCACTTGGTCAGAAATGAGCAAAGGAGTCAGATCTCCCTGCTCTTTAATCCCAGGGATGGAGGCAAGTTCTGGAGAAGAACTGGAAAATGTGGAACCTCAGGCACTGGGAAGCAGCCCAAGATGAAACACACTTGGACCTGGGCCTTGACATTTTTCTTTAGAAAAAAGTGCTTATCGTGTGGCTGTACAATGGTCTAAATGCTGGAAGCATTCAGCTGGAAGCTAAACTTGGCTTTGTGTTTGACCATCCATTTTTATTAGCAGAATTGCACACCATGAAATACAGCCCTCCTTCGTCCCTAGTTCTCAGAAAACCATTCCTGATAGCAATGTAATTCTAAAGGGGAAAAAAACCCACAGGAAAAAGAGGCCGGGCATTAAATTTTACAAAGCACAGGAAAGTAACTGATGTTTGATTATGTATGGACGGTTATTCCTATCAATGTAGACACAAGCCTATGGGAAGGGCTTGGGGAAGCAGGGCCCTCTGGTGAAGCTGTGGCCTCAAAGCCACCTGACCCCTGTGCTCCTCTCCCCTTCCTGAGGTCCCCTGGAACTGAGGAGAAACCGTCTCCACCTGGTGCTGCTTGTGTTCGAGGAGGGCTAACAAGACCCGTGCTTCCTCTTCTAGCCCTTCCTACAAGCCCCTACTGCTATTCTTATTACATTCCCAGAATTAAATTAAATTAAATTAAAATAGCATCCTTAACATGCTTTAGTTCTGTGGGAAAAGGAAATATATCAATCATGTACTAACTTAAGAAATTTAACATCCTGAAAAGTTTTTACAAACTCTGAGAAATAAAAAATAATGTCAGCAATCTTAGTCTGCCGTTACAAGTCACTGTTCTTGACAGTAAATAACACCAGGGGCCATTTTAAAGACTTAAAAATTAATAACATGAAAAATGAAGGAATGACAATAAACAAACATGATGTCCATAGCAGGGGTAAACAAATTAGTAAACTCTTAAATTGTTTCTATTGTATAGCCTGCCCTAAAGACTTTAGGAGAAGTATTATTAAAGTAAAATGTTGTGGGTTTTCTTTTTGTTTTTAAGTAGGTTTCAAGCCTAGTGTGGAGCCCAGTGCAGGGCTCGAACCCATGACCCTGAGATCAACATCTGAGCTAAGATCAAGATACAGCTGTGTAAAAATATGAATTTATTAACCGTTTCTATTAGTAACACAGTATATTGATTTATAATTTGCAAAAATAGGACTCTTTAACCCGCCAGTGCAGTTTAAATCACTTCATTTTTGTCCTGTGAAAATAAAGATTATCTTGTGGACACCTCCTTTGAATACAGGACATAATACAAAGATGGCAGGATGTCTGGCTTCCTCACTACAGGAGAGTTTTGAGAGGCACTCAGTGACTTGTCCAGAGGCACAAAAGCTAGAACCCTGCTGGCAG